ATTATAAACATATATAATACACACAAAAATATTTAATATGATTTTAAATTGAGATTTTATATGATATTCTGTTTTTTCCTTAAGTTTTATTTCTCACTTTGTGTCTCACAAATTAATTTAATGCTAAACAAATGTGATGGTTTGGTTTATAATGATTTGCATAATTAAATTAACGACAGTTTCCCATCAAAATATATCAGTGTTTGGGATTTGGAAACAAACATTTAGTGATCAACATTAAGGCAAATATAATCTTAAGATAAATGACAAAATGTATATATTTTTAAGTAATGAGAGTTGAAATTCACATGAGGTTTGATATTAAAGAATAGTATCCTAAAAATCTAGAATTCCCAGTGAAATATACGCTAACTTTTAGTGTCAAATATAGTATATTGTATATCAAAAGTCTTTCTCATGTGGTCTTCCTCTCTCTCTCTCTCTCTCTCTCTCTCTCTCTCTCTCTCTCTCTCTCTCTCTCTCTCTCTCTCTCTCTCTCTCTCTCTCTCTCTCTCTCTCTTCTGTTATTTGTGTCTCCCTTTCCTCTACCTCTCTATCCTTCACTCATTTACTTCTTTCCTATCCTCTACTCACACACACACACACCACTCAGTCAACCAGTGACAACCAAACCATACCCATACCTACTAAACACAAATACAATACAGTAGTTGACTATAACTGTATATATAGTTATTGTGCACTCAATATAATGCTAATGCATTGCATTTACTATTGAAACCAATGGCTCACATCTGCTGTAATTTTCGATTGTGTTTCGCAATCGTTGAACAATATATTCAATGGATTTGTTGCTTAAGTAACGTTAAGCTAATAATATCGACAGCACTTGGCTCTCATGCCATTAGTTATAATATCAGTGGGCATACTATAGGACATGGCTATTGTGAAATGCATTTGCAAATATATAATATTTTACACTAAAAACTCATATTCATTACAACTCTGCAACAAAATTTACTCACTCACCCACTCTCCCTCTCATTATTTTATATAACTAGCTGTTAGTTATCATAAAAATCTAGCAGTTTTTAGCATTTTATTAGCAAAAATAAAGTATACTTTTATATAAATAGCAATTTATTTAACAATAGTGCTTCAAATATATTATATATACAGTATAGTAATGTACTGTTGTTTCAAACAAATAATAATCGTGTAAAACAAGAGAATTATATATTTAGTTTTATGACTAGTATTTAAATTTTATTTGTGAGAGTTTTGAAATAAGTTTACAAGTGTTGTCTTAATTGTTTGTTAGTTTTTATTAGGTTAGGTTAGGACTTGTCATAACAATTGAGAGTTTATTTTTTTCAGTTAGACTACATATAATAATATAAAATTTTCAAACTTAAATCTATTTGATTAACAAATATTTAAAGGCCTTATTCAGTATTTTATTATATATCTAGAGTTTTATAATATTGAATATTTGATAGTAAAGGCAAGTGTTTATCGATAGAAAGCAAAAAGTTTTTGTTAGGGAAATAACTGCTAACTAATAGCCGCTATTTATATAGGATTAGGTTATACAACACTAACAGTATTGCACCGCAAAAGTTGGCAATAATTATATTGGATTCAACTAACAGTGTGTAGTTATAGCCAAACAGTAAGCGTGTGTAAGTGTATGTGATTTAAGCGGGTGCTGGTAGTAATAGTTTTGATTGTAGTGGACAGTAGGGACAGAAGCAGTTATGCCATAACAATAAACGCGTGAATGAATTAGACATAATTCTTGCAAACAAATTATTTTCAAAAATGTTTTGGGATTACAGTTAAGTATGGGTCAGAAAGCGATTAAAAACGTCCCGAAACGACATATAATGGCTAAACATTGCCATCGAGTATCTCCCGTTGTCATCCATTTCCATAAGTAATAACAATTTCATTAGTGTTACGGCATATCGTGAGTCCAGTGGTAATGAAAAAAGATTTTTTCGGCACAAATACTATCCGTTGTTTTGTGTGTGAACTCAAAGTTTTCATATTATATTATATATATTATAATACAATTCAATTGAATTGCATTAACAGAGTGTGCATCACTTGCACTGTTGTATGTTTATGTGTTTCTCGTTGCCCCATAGCCATCAATGACTATAATGACTGACAATTATTGAGGACAGGGAGGTGAGGGAAAATTGCTAAGAGACAGAGAGTGAGAGTGAGAGTGAGAGAGAGAGAGAGAGAGAGAGAGAGAGAGAGAGATAAGCGTCAAAATTATCTTAACTAAAAGATAATGTTTTATGCAATCATTTTTTATGAGAAAATTATGAATTTTTACTGTTCACTAAACTATGATTTGTGTGGACAGCACTCCAGCCATAACATGACATACCATATATTAAATGCATTACACTGTATGTCATTGTGTGAATGTCTATTCATTTTGTTCACTAATATATCCAATAAATTTGGTCGAAACGCGTGTGGTATCACTGCTATGACTTCACCAAAAATATTAAATATATTATATATTATGTGAATTTTTATGTAAAATAAAGAGAGACTTCATTTGAAAGTTTTCTCTCTTTATTTTATTTTATTTATACATTTATTTTCAATGATTCCGTTTGTTTGAATAATTGATTAGTTTTTTAGGAGTGACTTGTATTTAGAAAATTTATCTCAAAATTTTATTTAGTTTTTATTAGTTTCTCTATTCTCTCTTTTTTTATAAAATTTGATTTGATATACAAATGAAGTTAACTATGTAGTAAACAACACATACAAACATTTTCCCCAAAATAAGTTTGTGATTATATGTAAACCATAAAATAAAAAGTAAATCATTTATACTTAACAAATGACGTTAAAAATACAAATCTTATATCTAAAGCTTTATTATTATTATTACCATATTTACTACAAAAAAACCAATTTGCATTTGAAAAATAAGGTATTAAAAAGTCAAAGATAGCAATATATTATTAAAAATAACTTTATTGATGACTCAGACATGTTTTGTCAAACAGTAATTCAATATAACTTAAATAATTTAAAATTAATTTATACAGATATAAAACAAATGAAATTATTTCTATAAATAAATCGTTAAAACAATAGTTATACAATAAATTGGATTTAATCTAAATTATTCAATCTTTTATAACATTTATATATACGGTATATCATATTCATTGCTTTTAAAGTTATCAAATAAAAAAATTATAATAAATGACAAATTATTAACAAACTAAAATATTTTTTATTTTAATGCTCTTTAATAGCAATATATTAGTATATATAGTAAATATATATATATATATATTAGTAGCAATATGAATGACCAGTAATTTTTTGAACAATTAAATACAGTATTAATAGTGTAATTATTACTAAAGATGAAAAGATCAAATATATATATTATAAAATAATTCATTGCTCTCTTAACTATATATATATATATGTAGTTTATCTTATTTAGTAAAACTGGTAATACAAAGTTACGGTAAGCATAATATAAGACATATTATATAATGTTGAAATTTTAAGGGAAACTAAAATTGGTGTACTTATTACTTAATATAGTGTGCATTGGACAGTCATGTTTTTGATGAAAGCACCCGTACTACTACTAATACTACTACTGGTTAGTTTGTTAAACTATCATTTGTATTAATAGCAGTACAATAGGCTTGCAAAGCATGTATTTTTCTGATGGTTTCCAAGAAATAGTAATATCAGTTAAACAACTATTTTGGTCTCTATTTTCCGGCTTATCATCACTACTGATATGTTGCTTATATACCGTATATTCAATGTATTGAAAAGTTGTACGATATTTGGCGTAAGACTTGTGTCTCTCAATCGCATTATGAGTTGGTAACCGTCAAAAGCATTTCATTGTATTTCAATATTAGCTCATTTTTAAAAGTTTACTCAATGATAGAGAGAGAGAGAGAGAGAGAGAGAGAGAGTGAGAGAGGAGCAGGGAATCACTGATCACTGCCTCACTTACCAGAGCTCAGTCACTGATGACAGTACTTGGAATCGAGTTTAGCTTTCAATATATAATACTCAATGATTTATATTAGATAATCAGCTCTTCCTACTTCCCAATCATCTATCTCTCCCTCTCTCTCTCTCTCTCTCTCTCTCTCTCTCTCTCTCTCTCTCTCTCTCTCTCTCTCTCTCTCTCTCTCTCTAATCAATTCAGTTATGAAAGTGTAGTTCCCATCAAAACAATACAATTAGACCTTTTTGTTATGTGTCCACAATTTGGTAGAGAATGGCATACAAACTGAAAAAATCAAATTATTGTTAATCATATTCAAAGTTACTATAAATTTGTTGCACAATTAAAGTGTTTTTTTTGTTGTTGTAATTTATGCAAACATTTATACATATACAGTAGTATACTGTAGTGCTCTACCTAATGATTATAAATAAGTTGCAATCAATTTAAATCTTACCGAAACAAATGTTTTATTCATTTATCACTTTAATTTTAATTTAAACAACATTTGCAGCAATTCAAGCTTATTATTATTATTATTACACATACCACATTTATTGAAAAGTTACTATTTAATAATTTTTAATAAATGCTAATATTTATAAATTTAAACGTTTTTAAATAATTATATTAACTCTTATTAATTTATAAAATAAATTTTGTAATTAATTTAAATGTTTTAAAAACTATTTTTAGTAAGATTACTATTTATTATAATAAAGAATAACTTTATTAGCTTATAATATAAGTAGAATAAGCAAAAAAACAAATAAAACTTATTGTTTAAAAGTAACAATTGTTTTGAAAACAGTAATTCAAAAAAAGTTTATACACTGTTAAAGTTCAGTGAAAATATTGATAAATATAAAAGTACATCAATTATATGGCATACAAAGCTTGTCATATAATAATAAATTAATTCAATTTTAGCATAAATTATATATAATCAATAATAACAACATTTCATATGATTGTTATTTATACAGTAATAATAATCATAATAATAAGCACTTTCGATGGGAAAAAAGTTGTTTAAAAGCCTCGAGGAGTAGAGCCGGGAAACGACAGTAGAAATGGTGTGTCAATGATTTTGACCGATAGGTTGTTCGGTAGACTACCTTTCCTGGCGTCCAAATCTATTTTTGCGTTACTGTTAAACGTAATTTCAAACTGAATGTCCTGTCTCTTCCGGGCCGCCGCTGTAAACGCGTCCAACGTTTTCGGTCCAACCGATGTGTGATCCGGGTTAATGACATCACTACCATTAGGTCTGAGCCAGGTCAACTTAGCACTGTTATCTATTATGTTGATAACACCTGCAATACATATATTAGACATACATTAATATATTAATTACACAAAACACGTTCAAACATTTTAATGGACATTCAACTCGTATTATGTAAAGTATAGTAAGTAGATGTAATGTATTTGTTTTGGGAAAATATATAATATTTAATTTTTGATAAACAAATGAAACACTAAATTTCGTAGTCAGATATATCTCTTAATTAATCAAACTATTGTCACTATTACTACACAATGTCTAATCATACCAACTGTGCCTTCAATTTAATGAGCATTTAATTTGATTTGAAAGCAAACATCATTATAATTGTCAATGAATACCGTATTTGGTATACCTTTCGGGCACACATACAATATAAATATATAAATGTATATTTAAGTGTGTATTTAATATGCAGGGTAACTTTTACATACAATTATTTAAATATACAGTAGATATAATATTAATAATAGTATTATAAGTTAATGTGATTTTCAAAAATAATGGAAACACTTCGGGAAAGGGTTTTTGTGAATAAATAATTTGCTATAAAGTATTGCAGTTGTCATAATTATCGACATCTAATAATACTACCAGTGCCATAGCATAATGAGTAGTAGGCACCGGGAGTTTAGAGACATGTTGTGTGAAAACTGGCCATTTCCTCTCCACAAAATCTGTATAATTTTAATCTAATAGTCGTGTGTTTAATGGTGTGCTTAACTCATTATTTCTTTGTTAATGTCCACCTAAATAAAGGACCGGTAGTTTCAAGTCATACATTTGGTAATAAAATAATTGTTTTGTTTGTGTTGTTATATTAAATTAATTATATTTTTTTAAGGAGTCACTCAAATGATTATTTAATTGTTTCCCTAAAAAGTAACACTAATTTTGTTGTCTAATTTTTATTGAAATATATCTTTATTTGAGTATTACTTTAGATCTATTTTTGGTTAAAATATTTTTAAAACTAATTTGTCCGCCCTTTGACTTATTGGATAATTATTTTAAAAACATGTTTTCTAAACTTTAATGACATTTAAAAAAAAATGTTTGTTTTTAAGATAAATAACCTAAAAAATATGTTGGAGTGTTGTGTTTGATGGACTCCCACTCAGTGACTGTCTTAACAGGTAATCCGTAATTTTTCAACAACAAAAAAAAACAAACACCAGTTCCGCACATCACCACCACATGTGTACAGTAGTAATGCATGTGTTTATGCTGACACACGGGCGCACTCATACATTAATATACACAAAAAGATAAGCATCCCTTGCATACAAATGTGAGGCCCAATGTATGTATGTATGTGTGTGTGTGTGTGTGTGTGTGTGTGTGTGTGTGTGTGTGTGTGTGTGTGTGTGTGTGTGTGTGTGTGTGTGTGTGTTGTTTTGAGATGACTTACCGCCATCAGAGAGCAGAGGAGAAGCAATGTCAAGAAAACTTATATTTTTGAGTTTTGCCAGACATTTGAGCGCACCGTCGCCTATGTCGAGCCCAACTAACTCAAGGATCTCCAGTTGTGGCAAATAAGTGTCAATATTTTCATAGAGATTTGGATTGTGGTTCTTGAGAATCAGTCTTAAGTGACGTAACTTTTTACACGCAGACAACTTCTCCAGATTTGTATTTAGCCGGAAGTCAATGTGTCTCATTGGTGACCGACCATTGATGGTCAGTGTCTCTAAGTTTGTAAACTTACCGACCGCTTCTAATAGATGATCACCACCAGACCAAACACATATATTTAACTCTTTAAAGTTTGGTCCAAACTTTTCACCTATAAGTCCTAATTGGTTGTCAATCGGTGTGTCACCGGTTGCTGTGACTGACATTTTAAATAACTGTTTAATTATAACATAAATGTTAAATTCAAATAAAAAAATGTATAGCTATTATAAATTTTCAAATACATTGGTGAGATTGCCCAAAATTGCCACAAAATCGGGTGTCTCACTCCTGGTAGCCGATAATGTAATGTCCAAATTGCGTAAATATTGTGCATATTTTATCTGTTAAATAATATGTAGAAAAGACTATATAATTTATAATACATTTGATTGATATTTACCGTAAACTGTGTTAATAACTCTTTTTCATTGCCCGATACCTTAGACCAAACATGTTTCATATTAGTGATGGTTCCGGGCATTGATGCCATCACTGCAATGGCTGAGTCTATATGTATGGCCTCTAAGTTACCAATTGATAGGATAAGTGCTTTGATTCCTTCATTAGTATAGAAACCATTTGAAAATCCTATGAGTTCCACATGTATTAGTGATTTACTAAATCGTTGTCCTGTTTTTTGTCACAATTATGGCAAATAATAGTCATTAAAATTTTTATATATAAACGTAAATGATTTTTATGTGACTGACCTAATAACTTAAGTATTTCATCGGTAACTCCGGTGCAGTCATATATACGGATACATTCAATGGCAGCGCCTGAGTTAGCAATTAAACCGATGACATCGTTATCCAACTTAAGTCCTCCCAATTCAACCACTTTTAGATCTTTGCCTAATTTGTTGATCAATTCGCCAAACTTTGTCTTATCCAACGGTTTTTGGTCGTCGGAATCGTTAACCAAAACAACTTCTCTATGATTATCACTACATCGATGACACTCTTCTTCACAAAAATTTCGATCCCTTTCTGTTACACTAATCTTTAAGTTACTCATTGTTTATTACTGATTAATATTAATAATTAATACACAAAAATACTAATAATATCAATTCATTTAATAAATACAATCGATTTATAAGAAATGCATACAAATATTTAGCAAATATTTAAGTAAACTATTTATGCAAATAAGATGTCATCTAAAAAATATTTTGCTGTCTATGCACTCAAGTGTGGGTGTGGGAGGACTAGTAGTTCACAGAATCACAGTACAAATAAGCAAAAAATATTTCGTAAATAATATAATCTAATAATTATTAATTTTTCATAAATTGTTAATTTAGTTTACAAAATTATGCTGCTCTTGTATAAATGTATGTTAATAAATATATTTAAATGTATTTAAATTTGTTATTAATTAATTTCAATTAGTTTATTCATATAAAACAATTTACTATTTTTCAAATAAATAGTATTATTCATATCTATTTCTGTGTGAAAACTTTAGGAATCGTATTATTTAAAAGAGTATAAGTTCTCATCACTAATAGTGTAATGGGATAAACATTTTTGTGGCTAAAAATATAACTGTTTTTATGTCAGTCTCTGTTGCATATAATTGATTACAAAATTTAGTAAAGTTTTCAGTGTTTCACAACAACATACAAACCTATATATAGCTATTTTGCGGTGCAATCAGTTAGTGATGTCATCAGTCAAAACATCGCAAACTCATTGATATTTATTAGCAAAAAAATTAACAAACTTTTAAAAAGAAATCATAACTAAATAACTAATTATAATTTATTAAAATAATTATTAAATCTAATTAATAATTTTTATTGAATTTCATATATATTTTTTTATTCTAAACATTTTATGTTAAATATTAAGTAAACAAATTGCATAACTGTTTGGATAAAATTATATTTTCATAATTGTAAATTAAAAAACTGTTTTATGTAATTAATTTGTATAATTGTTTTTGTAATTCTATAAAATAATAGTTTCTAAGTATCTAATTAATGAAATTAGCCTAAAACGTGCATTTTATGGAAAAAAATCTTGAAAATCAGTTAAAATTAAACAAAACACACGTTTTCTCAAACCAGTAATACCCTAACTATGCTAACTGTAAGCACATGTTGTCCTCAGAAGTTGTTTTACATGTAATGCCATTAACCGGTATTACATAAGAGATATTTATTTATACAGATCTCTCAGTGATTGCCACTTAACAGTAAAACTGCTAATACTCGGTATAATTCACTTGAATTAATCACTTGAACTTTGATAGATACGGCAAAAAAAACGAGAGCACAGGGAGGTTATGGAGTTCATTATGGGGTAAAGTGATGTTACTTAAAAAGCATTATTAAAATTAGCTCAAAAAGGAAAAAATAATAAAAATAAAATCTAAATATAAATAGAGTAAGACTTTTAAAAAAGTTTTTATTGTTATTTTGTTTTGACTAAATTTATATGTTTGCCATTCATTACTGTATTACTGTATAAATATATCGTAACTCTTGCTTTGATTTTGTTTTACTCTCTGATATATAAATTTTATATTTGTATTATAAAAGTTTTTGCCAAAATAAAAAATAAATTCAAACTTTAAAATGACATCAAATTATATATATTTTTACTTTATTTTATTTTTTAAATGTTAAATTTGTTTGTCAAACAATCACATTTTAATAAAAAAAATAAGTAAACAATTTTTTTTATTTATTATATATCTTATTAGTTTTTTTTTGTATTTGGATTTCTTTTATCATAACATTTTTATGACAATTTAACAAATTGTAAATTTTTTGTTATTGTAACAATTTAAAATATCATAATTTAATTTTAAATTTATATGTAAAAAAGAAAAAAGATATTAATATAAATTATTATTTTTTGAGCGATATTTTTATTTTGCAAAAAAACATATAATTTTTTTTATATTTATTCTATTTTTATTATTAATATTTTATTAATAAAAAATCTAAACATTTGTTTGCAGATAAAAAATTATAATAAATGTTAATAATTTTTTAGTCATTATAATTCTTCTATAATATAAATTATATATATATATTATATATAGCATATTATAAATATATATTATTAAAGTAAAAAAATTAGTACAAAATAAAAATAAATCTTTATTTTTGCTGTCAACTAACAAATGCTGATAAAAATTGTATTTAAGAGGCATGAGTGCCTGATATGAGACACAGTGTATTGAGTTTTGTATTATAAAAAATAGGATAAAAAGTATTATATATATATATATATATATATATATATATATATATATATATATATTTAAGACCCAATGCTTAGTCCATAGAATCTAATCACCAGATTGTCAGTCACTTTACACTTGTATCCACAGCACCGGGCAATTGATAGCCTTCTGTTTCCCTTATGTTTCACTCATTTATACACTTTCCTAACCGTAAGCGATATTTAAAATATTCAAAGAGAGAGAGAGAGAGAGAGAGAGAGAGAGAGAGAGAGAGAATAGTATGTTTAGAGCTATTATTTCATTTTCTTCCTATTCCTGTATTGATATCCATATACAGTATATACAGTATATACTGCACTTATACCGTATATAAACTAAATACATGTATATATAGTGCCCATCGATGCGCTGCAAATACATAGCACTTCCGAGAATCGCTCCCCGAGTAGGCCATCAATAAGATTGAGTCCAACATTAACTCTTATGCGCCCTACTATTCATTTTCCCCTTTACACTGACGGCCCTAACCCTTATTGTATGGCAAAAGCATAGTAAGCCTGTATTGTATGTCTCACAACCAATACAGTCCTAGCAATGACTCTCCACCCCTAACAACGGTCCCACTAATGGGCCAATTATGAGCTGACTTTCCGATAATTTTTCTACACTTTTGCGGTGAATTGCATTTAGTTTCTAACGGACAACACATTTAATTTTGATAAAATTCTGTACAAAATGCATACAATTTTATAACATCTCATTAAATGGACTTTAATTGAAATTATTGAAGTTATTAGTTGTATTAATACTTCAGTATAAATATGTTACATACAATTCATTTTACAGATATTTTAAAGTTTTAAAATTACTTAACATCAATATAAAATTAATACAGTATTTAATCAATATTTGACTGAACAAATTAAATAAATATTCAATTGCAAATAAAATATTAATTAAAAACTTTTAAATTTACATATATATCCTATTAAACAATTGAAGTATGAAAACATAATATAAGAAAATAAATTCTAAGAAATGTTTTCCTTAAATGCAAATATTTTTGTTTAAAAAAACAATAAAAACTTTCTGAAATTTTTTTTCAAAAATTTTTAATTTTGTCTAAAGTAAAAATAATTGCTTGACAAACAAAACTAGTGTAAAACAAAATAACTTTTATTATACATTGTTTATTGATGTATTGAATAAGTATAAAATTTGATTATTAAATCAATCAATTGAAAGTAAAGTTATATAAAATAATATATCAAATGAATTACACAAAAAAAATCCTTAACAATATTTTAATACTGTATGTAATACATACATATATATTATGTATTATCATTTACTGTCGATGAGTCCCAGAAAAGGGTGTTAGCAGTAAACCCCTTAGACATATAACGTTTAATGTTTGGTATATATCTTACAAAAAACATCACACAACTATCATATACAGTACATTACTTTACATTGTATTACTTATATAACAATTTTATCACATGTTATATCTCGTCATTTTTATTTATATAAATATATAAAGTATATACAGTTTATACTGTGGATGTATTATCCTTTTTCTGAGAAAAACTCATCAAATATGTTGAGAAACAAAATGATTGAACTATACGCTAGTATTGGTAGTTCACACACTTTTTGTTGCAAATGATGGAGAGAAAAATAGAGAGAGAGAGAGAGAGAGAGAGAGAGAGAGAGAGAGAGAGAGAGAGAGAGAGAGAGAGATTGGGTAATGCATTGAATACAGTATAACAGCAAAATACTGTATAAAGGAAAAGAGCATTGAGTTGTGAGAATAATTTAACAAAATTTATATTATATATATATATATATATATATATATATATTGTCAAATACATAGAGAGAGTACCAATAAATGTAGTCCAAAATAAATTATATGAAAAAAGCCGTTTACAGTCATTGCAATACAATTTTTTTCTCTCACACACAGCGAGTCTCTAAACATATTAAACAACTGTTATTTACATGAATGTTATGGTTAGGTTAGTCAAACTACTTTCATATATTAAATACGATTTTTTCAAACATTGAATTGCAGTGTTTTTATCCCAGAAAAACATTACTGTATATTTTTTGTCTCCCATAAATAGTTTAGAAAAAATATAATAATCATTTTATATAAATTATGGTCACTGGTATTGCTATTTGCACTACAGTATATCATCTCAATCAGCTTACAGTTATCCGCAACTTATGTTAAAATATTACTGGTTTTGTTTAAAAAACTATCCTTGATGATTATATAGTTTAAATGAAATAAAAATATATCATTTTTTATTAATATTATCCAAGTTTTTTTTATTAAAAATATAATATTAAATGATATATTTATAGTGTTTATTGTAATAAATAATACAGAGATTAGTGCCTAAAATAAAAACTCTAAACATGTGATTACAGATAATGTAATTTTATATTTGCTAAACATTTAATGCCAAAACTATTAGAAAATATAAATTATAAAAAACAATATTAACAATCATAAATAATAAAATAAAACAAACTTTAAACAAATATAATAGCTTTGTATTTGCAGCCCTCAATGGTTTATATATATTTTGATTATTTATTTATTTTATATAAGTTTAACTAAAATTGGATTTTTGTTAACTTTCTTTTTGAAGATTTTGTAAAACTATAAAAAAATCTTTTGTGGGACACATATCCATAAACAAGACATATTAGATTTTTTAAAAGTATTTTTATATTCAGCAGCACTGGTAGATTCAAATGTGTACTCTTATGTTGTGCTCAAATAAATTGTATTTAGTTTGAAAATTTATTAGTTAATCCCAGTGTAATTTACAATAAATTTAGTTAAAACATAAATGGGATAAAAAAAAGTCGTTTTAATGTTTTATGTCAAATAGTACTTGAATTACACTATTAATGTA